GTTTCCCACGTCACTGGACGGAGGAAACGGGAGCGTTAGCGAGCAGGGTGGGAATCCAGTTTGTGCTAGTTACCTGGTACGGGTTAACACGCAGCCTATAGCTGAGACCGGCCTGAGTCATTCCTTCCAGGCTGGAGCAGGCAAAAAACCAGTACGGTAGCTGCACGAGTACGGGCAGTGCAGCTATGCGTAAAGATATGAGATTAGTTGGGGGTGGATAAAAATTCCTGTCTTTAGGCTTTTGGCTACTCCGTACAACGGCAGAATAATCACTGAATGCACATATGAAGTGGTCTCTATGCTAGGTATTTTCTGCGTTTTACTTGAGCTTTGAGGCAGGGCTCGCGGCTGCACTTGCAAACGTAGCTACTGGGCAGTGTCTGGCCTCGCCAGGAGACAAAGCCTTTCAGGGAGGGCCCAGAAGCCACGCAAGAGCCAACATCACATTTCCTTCCAAATTTTGGCTTCGGGGGGAAGTTACTTGCTCCTCTTGAGTTTGGAACTTAACAGGAGCTGGGAGCCTGAGCTGCTGCCTCTCACAGTCAGTTACTTGGTTTTCAGGCCAAGTTGCAAATGTTGACAGAAAATCAGTTTTGTGTTGCTAACAATTATCTTCAGTGCTCCCCAGAATACTGTATGTAAATGCTGCATTTTAGAAAACTCCATCAATTAATAGTATTGAAAAAATTGAAAGTTGAAAGGTAGGGTTTTTTAAGTGCTCTTTCATCAATGTTTCTACATTTTCAGTTTCTTTGTCCTTTTTTTTTCTCCCTAGACTTATTTTTCCACCTGTGCCAGTGCAAGGGATGTGCATAAAAAAAATTGTTATGGTAATGGAACACCCTCAGAACAGTCTCAAATGCACAGAAACAACATAACGGAGAACAGTAAAGGCAGTCAAATGGATAAAGTAAGAAACAGAGGAGAATAATTGAAATTAATTTTAAAATGTTATTGCTATAAACAAATCTTTCACTATTTAAATTTAATAGCGTTCAGACTAAAACAAAGTAAACTGTTTCTTATATGGCCACACGTAATCTCTTTTCAACCGGTAGCAAGGTTAGCAATGAACTGCTTATCAGCACTGAAAATACTCTTACACAGAAGTAGTTCAGTGGGTCTACTACGTGTCATGTCCACACGTGTATTTCTCAGGTTAACACCATTGATGTCTTCGGTGCTAAGAATCTTTTTTCTCAATAAGTTTAGTTCAGTTTCTAAAAAGAGTTAAAGCATAGATTCCTCTTATGCTTGACTTTGCTCATATACAGAGAGTTGGTGAGGAAGAAGCATTACTATCTATTCCTTCATCGCCAAGATAAGTAAGATAATATAAGTATCGTGAGACATCAAATGAAAATCGCTACAGTATACCATACCACTGCAGCTTTTTCCATGCCATGTGTGGGCACACCTCTCTAATGTGCAAGAGTTACTGAGTGCGTGAAAGAGTGGAATTCTAGACATCATCTTTACATTTGGTGAATCTTTGTGACTTTTTATTACTTTGGACTTTCTTTAATGTGGTTTTATGGGAATTCATATTCACCTCAATGTTAAACTGCACTGTTTTCGACCTTTTTTTTTTTTTTTTTTTTTGAGTTCACGGTGTCTTTTGCTAAAGCAGACTTAACTGGTGACTGAATACATTTTTAGAGTCCATGTAAAAGCGTATGGACTACCAAATATGGCTAGTCACAACTTAAGCACAAGTTAGGCTTCCATTCTTAATGCTAAAGGTCACTGAAGATTTTACTTAGCTGTATTCAGAAGTGTATTGAATTACTCATTAACTTTCTGCTTATAAAAAAACTCCTCGACACAGTATGCACCAGCAAAAGTTATTATCTTGGCAAGCAATGTAGCAAAACATTTATTTGATTGGACTTTATAGGAAATCCTCATCTATACTGATTCCTGATGGACTTTTCTTTCTCTGTTTAGCTCAGAGGGCTTGACAACCCCCATTTAGAGAGAGAAACAAAGTTTTATTATAGATTCATACAAAATGGAAGAAACAATGTATTATGAGTACAAGGTATATTTGTATCTCTCCTTACGCTGAGGACAACAGACAGTAAAAGAAGAATGAATATAAGCCAAAAAAACATTTATTGAGTTATGCTTTGTTGAACCATCACTTACAAAGTTAAAATTGAATGGGAACACCATAGTAATTGTTCAAGTGGTGTCATGGTTGCCAGGGTGGACACAATTTTTCTGCCAAAGGATCAGCACAAAATGAGGTGACCCTGGAGCAATTTGAAGCAAAGCTATATTCTACACTGCTTTGGAATTAGTTCCTAACTAGCCCAAGACTTGAAAAAGTACACTACTTTTTTTTAATTTTTGATTTTGTAGTAGTGAACTTGGGTAAAGGCCAGCCTAGCTGAATACATTATCAGCCACGTTGCTAGTTATTTTAACAGTCATTAAATTGCTTGGCCCATAATTGCCACAGCATTCAGACTCCAAGAAAAGCTGGTCAGAATCCTCTCCAACTGCATGTGTCCACTGCCATTTTCAGAAATACTGCTGTCTTTAATTGTCCCTTTGTCATCTTCTATAGCTCTTTGCAAATGCGTTTTGACAAATTTGGTTGGCAGCTGTAGAGGTTTAATTGGCTCTAGTGAATAAAGTTCTGCCCTTAATTCTGAAAATTGGAGAGGAACATCTCTGTTCTCTGTAGGTAACATTTAGCAGTAGGAGTGCCAAATTCTTCCTTTTTTGTACTAACTCAGATTTTTATTGCACTATCATGTGCTAAAGGGGTGTGTGCATACAGAACCTATTGTTAGTCTTATGGGAGAAGGGTATATTTCAGTGAACTGAGAAATAATTTAGTTTGAGTTTATGAAATGGCCTGTGAGCCAGCATCCACAAACGGTCTGAAATGGTCAGTTCAGAATTGTGGCTGCGTGTTGTTGTGCTTGTCAGCCCCGTGTCCATTTTTTAACGATAAGTTTTCTTGTTATCAGGCCCCTGAGTTGAGTTCTGCTAAGTGAATCTGAAAAACATTATATTTTGCTGCTTACAAAAAGGACCTTATGCTTCCTATAGAAAGATAGTTACAGACTCAAGCTAGTGGCAAGAGAGGTTATGGAGTGGTGATGTGATCAGTCTGCAGCCATACAATGAAGCAGTAAGAAAATACTGTGTGGTAGGTCATTTTGCTTGTTTGTAAACTGAACATAATCATTACAAAATGAGAACTCTGCAAGAATCACATGAGCTTGAGTCAGGATTTTTTGACAAACATTATGCAGAGCAGATATTGGAGGGCACGCAGAGGGTAGAGATTTTCTCAGGACCGCTACTGTCAGAATAACTATTGAAACATAGATGGGGGTTTTCAAGAAAAGAGAGTCCCGTCACTCTGCATCTTTGCACCTTGACCTTGAAATTAATTTGCAGACTGTATCAGTGTTTCAGGCCATTAATCGTGATTAACTGATTTTCTTGAAATTGCTGTGATGATTAAGTGATAGGCACAGAATTATCCTAGATCTCTAATGACACTTAGAAAGGGTGACAATATGTATTTTCACTAAAATTTTGAGTTTGTATTTCTTTTTATTTAGGCATTCATTTTCCCTAAGTAAATATTGTTTATGTGGCCAGAGAGACTGTCTAAAGAGAAGCCCGGGATAAAAAGTACACAGTACTACCTGACATTTGTGGTCACCATAAAAACAGGTCATTATGCAAACTAGTACTTCCTAACTAGAGCACAAGTTTAAGTAAACAAAATATAATATGATATAATCTGATATAATCTCTCCAAGGGAAAAACAGAGATCAGTCATTCACAAATATAAAATATGTGAAGGATCTAGGAAAGAGGGTACTGGTGATGAAGAAATGAGATTGTCTGAGCTATTTAACACGGATGTAGAGGCTGCAATTCCAAAACTTGGTGTCAGCAACAACTTCATCACCTTTTATAATCTACTTCCACCTTCCTCAGAACATCCTATTTTATTTTACTAGCTTCTAAGCTTATTACACAAATGAGGCTTTAGTTCCTTGCCCCTGCAGCTATTCTGAACAAAAAAGACTCTCTACTGTAAGATATCTGTAGTCTGCTTATTTCTTTCGGGAAGAGGTGAATATGTGTCCTATCACTGTAAGTACTTGGGGTGAAAGCGCATTGCTTTCTGCTGTTTCTTCCTTTTCTGGTTTCCTGTTACTCCTTCAAGCCTTGCATTATACCCTCCAAAAACTGTTGTTTCAGAAATCATGTTAAAGATAAGTGCATAATTCAGATAGTTCTTTGTCTTTTGCTCCAAATGCCTGACTTTCTCCCATGAGCTGAAAATAACATTAATAACTAGGTCATTCATAGTGTCTGATCTCTTCGTAGTTCATGACTCCTGCTAGAAGTGAATTCTAGGGAAGCAACTTTTTTATTTTCTTTATGTTTTTGCCCAAATACTACATCTTATTGTTTTCTTCTGATCCCCTGTCCTAACTTGCTTGCCTGATCTTTGCCCTTCATGTTTGTGTGAGCTACTGGGAGTCAGGAGCAGTTTACATGATGGTG